TCTGGCTGTGGCTGTTGAAATCTGTTATGTCGTGACTGAGTATTCATTGTGGCGTGGTATAGTCTGGATGTTTGGGTGTTTCTTGGTTTCGGCAGACACCTTGTATTTAAAGTTCAGGAGAGTGTCACAGTCGATGTATTTCTACTGGTTTCACGGTAGGAATTTTCATTAGGGCTCTTGGAAGATTTACGTATTTGTTTGGTCTCACTTGTCATTACATATTTCACTCCATTCCGATAGACCTTGCTCCGCAAGGTACAGTAATTGTTGTTAAAGCTCACAAATCACGAATCATGAATCTAACGTCTGCCGAGCGGACTGTAAATTCGGCCAGTGTGACTGTCCGCTACTATTCGTGACATGAGTGTGACTCAGGAAATAGTGTACCGCTTATAAACCTCCTGATGGTGCCTGGCTATGGCCAGTGTGCTGTTCAGAACAGCATTCAATTTGTGTTGTCCTGTCGTCATTGCTGCATATGCATGTTGATCACAGTAGTTTCGAAACGTTGAACCCCAGTGAACTCTACCTATGGCCAAAACGGTTAAGAACGAGTAGAATATGACGAATTTAGAAGCACCATATTTCACAACAGGAGACTCGCCGTGGAGAGTAATACAATAATATTGCACATCTGTTCGGATCGTCTCACATATGGCATGAAAACTAGGACAGGCAACGACAGCAAGCGAAAACAGAGCAGATGATGGAACGGTGATGCAGAGCAGTATAATGGAAATAGAGACAACGAAACAAGACAAGGAGAGATGCGGGAGGGCGGTGAACCTAATACAAAGCTCCGTCGGCGGCAGCGATTGCCTTGGTCTAACACCTTTTCCTGCTCTGAGTGAACATAAGTTATTGAAAAACGAGAGTGAGGTCAAACTAACCGCTGGTAGCTAGCACAACCTCGGGATCATAGTAAGCCTGCAGAGAAAACACTGAGTCTACCATTTGCGAAAAGCAGCGACAACATACCTGAATCCATGGGCTCATTGTCACTAGAGGAAGGCGGCGGCGGGAGAAGCTGCGGGGGGAAGATGATGGTGGGGAAGAAGAACGGTGGGGAAATGGGATAGGCTTCCCCAAACATTTCAACTTCGGAGTCGCCACTACAAAACTCACCCAAACAAAATTAAAGAGCTCGCGAGTCGTACTACAAATATTAAGCAGAGTTTAGTAAGCTGCGTGACGATGAACGACGCGTGAAAACACTGTACGTCGACAAAAAACGCGATCGACGAACGCGGGCAACGTGTTACAAAACGTTACAACTCGACAACAATATACTATTTCTACGATGGGATGGCTAGACGATGGTGTTGTTCAAGATTACACAATATTATAGGATAAATTATATTTCTAAACAATATTTTACGCGATTCCAACCGTTCTGGCCATGTCCAAAGTTCACTGTGGTTGAACCCCAGGGAAAACTGGACATGGCCAAAACGGTTGAGATCGAGCGGAATATGACGAATTTAGAAGCACAATGTTTCAGTATAGGAGACTCGCTGTGGAGACAAATAGAATATCTCGCATCTGTTGCAATCTTCTCGAATGTCGTAGGATATGCTAAGAATATTGTTATCGTATTTCAGCATATTTCAGTTCAGTTCGTGTGGTACGACAAAATCAGTTGCATTCGGGTCAATTATGCTATAATCTACTTATACAAACGCTTCGACCTGCGACCAGCAAATACGATACAGGATGATAATGACAGAACCAGCACGACAGTGAGAAGCAGGCAAACTCGACAGCAGCAAAAGAACAGGAGCGATGTGGACGGGAGAGGAGTGAGACAAGCGAACACAGGCAGCAACCAGCAGGTAATGGCAAAAGAACAGGAGCGATGTGGACAGGCGAGGAGTGAGACAAGCAAGCACAGGCAATTGGGAAGCAACCAGCAGGCAATGGCAAAAGAATATGAATGATGTAGACAGGTGAGGAGCGGCAAGATAACGTGATGGGAGAGCATCCAGCAGCAAAAAAGGCATAGAGCAAGAGTGAGGGAGGTGAGTAGTACACTGAAGACAACAGGACGGAGGAAACTCATGAGGCGGAGCTACTGTCAACAATAAAAACACCCTTCCCGCTCCTAGTAAACATGAATGGTCATAAAATAAGAGTTCGAGAGCTGAAACTTACCAGCTAGCGCTAAGTGGGTCATAAGCCTGCAGAGACAATAAGTTAGTGCCATTTAAGAAAAGCAGTAACAACATGTATACCTGAATCCACGAGACCCGCATATTTGTGGAATCAGTGGAGGAAGGCGGTGGCAGGACTCCTAGCTGTTGGGAAGATGGTGGTAAGAAGAAAAGGGGAAATGGACTTTGCCGAAATTCCCCAAACATTTTTAAACTTTGGGGTGTTGGTAGTTTCAAAACTCACCCAAACTTTGTGATCATATTATACAGGAACCTACACGAGAATTCGAGTGGAGCTTTGCAGAGTAAGTAAGCTGTGTGACGTGTGAATGCAAAGTAGTGATCGAGACATGGACGGAGTGATGTAAGATTGACGTGAACAAATTGTGTGTTGACGAAAACACGCTCGACGACGTGACCAACACAATATTGCAAATCGACAACAATGTAATCTTTTTGCCATGCGATGCGCAGATGATCGTGTCGTTGAAGATTATACAATATTATAGGATTAAGTTCGCACTAATGGATTTCTCAATGAACAGGCGCAAATCACAGCCGGACATGCACATACAAGGAGCCACGATACACCCATCCCCGACACATCGCCTCCTGGGAGTGATCCTTGATCAAGAACTGCGTTGGAAAGCCCAGATCGACAATGCGGTGTCGAAAGGAACAGCTTATGTACTCCAGCTACGTCGTCTCTGTACCTCTGCCAAAGGCATGCCACTTCGCCTGATGCGCCAGCTCTATCTAGCAGTAGCCGTTCCAAAAATGATATATGCAGCGGACCTTTGGTTCTCCCCAGTCTACCGCGAGGGCTCCAACTCCCTGCAACGCGGTTCCATCGGAATTGCGAAGCGCCTGTCCACAGTCCAACGTCTGGCCGCAATAGCTATCACTGGCGCCATGAGAACCTCTGCAACGGACCTACTCGAAGCCCACGCCAACCTCCTCCCCACCTCATTACTCCTGCAAAACGCCTGCCACAGAGCCGTCCCACGTTTGGCAGCTCACTCCAGCACTCATCCACTCCACCTTCCAATCCACAAAGCAGCCAAACGTTATGTCGCCTCCCATCGCACATCCCTACATCGCCTCACCCATCGCTTCGACATCTCACCCAACACAGTGGAGACCCTTGTTCCAGCACGACGACCGCCGTCTACCAAGAATCCATGGACCACGCACATCGCCGCAAGCAAGGAGGAAGCGATAGCGGAACACGAGCAACTGAACGACCAGATTCAAGTATACAGTGACGGATCGGGGCACAAGGGCCGGATTGGGGCAGCAGCAATCCTCTTCCGTGCAGGTCAAAGACCCAGAAGCCTGCATTACTATCTCGGCACAGAAGAAGAACACACAATGTTTGAGGCAGAGGAAGTGGGACTCACATTAGCAGCAAGGCTCTTAGCCACAGAACGGGACGTGACCTTCCCACTGTCCGTCTCGGTCGACATTCAGGCGTCGATATTAGCCGGTGAGAGTTTCTACTCGCGTCCTGGTTCATACCTGGCAGATCATTTCCGCAGGATCATGCAAAGGGTCGCAAAAGACCATGTAGACTTTGATGTAACGTTGCGCTGGGTACCAGGACATTCGGGCGTCCATGGTAATGAGGAAGTCAACAAACATGCAAAGCTGGCTGCAGAGGGACGTCAGAACAACAGCCCCAGACCCAAACTGCCCCGCTACCTACGTCACCGTTCACTGCCGTTAAGTATCTCAGCACTTCAAGAAGCGCACAGCAAGACCATCAATGAACACTGGAAGCGCCTCTGGCACAAATCCCCCCGATTCTGCAAGCTCAACCGCCTCGACCCCCATATCCTGAAACGTTCCTTCGTCAAACTCACCGTCAACTTCCCCAAACGACTAACAAGCCTATACATGTTCCTACGTACCGGTCATGCTCCCCTCAACAAGCACCTTCACCGCATACGCAAATCCGACAGCCCCTACTGTGGTCATTACCCCGGAAAGGAAGAGTCGATACATCACCTCTTGATAGACTGTCCCCACTATCAACGTGAACGCCACTCCCTGACAAACGCACTAGGTCGCCAAGCGTCGTCCATCCCATTCCTCTTTACCGACCCCAACGCCACCCAACATCTAGTCAAGTTCATCAATGCTACCGGCAGAATGAGAAGTGTCCTCGGTGAAGTCCCGCTCCCTCGTTTCCCTGCAGACTGACAGCTCTCTGGCAGATCACGAATCCACGTTATGAATATGAACCTGAAGTCATCTCGCAAATCCAAGTACCATAATCCCAATAATCTGTACCACCAACACCCACTCGTCTACATGGAGTCAAACCTGTTCTTCAATGGTCCACAACAGCAGGAATACGGAGCCCACCCGTCAACTATGGGCACCATTTATATTCTTTCCTACTGTATCCATACCTGTCTCCTGTACCTGACCGCAGTAGCGGCCGAGGACGCGTTCCAGTCCATTCACCGTTAGCCACACCACACGATTCTGTATACCATAGTCATCTCATCCTCACAGGGTCGCGCGTCTAAAACGGCCGGCGGGAACGGCGGACTGGTGGGGGCACGCCTCACACCAGGGCATTCGCGGATCCGGAGATGCATTGGGGACGCCGGGGGTCCCCTAGATAGTATTGTCCTCCATAGAGTGTAACTCTCCATAGGACAGAAAAATTGATTCAAAAAAAAAAAAACCTGGCAGCAAGCTTCGGTAATCAGTGTTGTTACTACATAAATACCGTCAAATGAAACGAACTGAACTCGACGTTTTAGAATTGAGCATCCCTTTACGTCGATGTTTGATGGATCTTACTGCCTTCATTCAGCTTCACGAACATGCCCCGCTCAGATGTCAGGTGCTGCTACAATCATCGTGTTCAGATGCTACCTCATCCCTGCTTCACACCTGAGCAGTTTATCGAGGACATTCGGATGGTTCAGTGCGGACACGGTAAATCGTTTGCTTCAGTTCTCCGTAGCACTCACTGACAACTTTTGCAAAGTTCCCCCTTCAGCTCCACAGCCATTTTGTTGGCCTTGTTGGCCGGAAGGCGAAGACTGCACACTTCATGCACGACCTGGTACGCTGAACTTAACTACAACTTTTTTTCCCACTGATGCTACCTACATATTGTGCAGACCCTCAGCAGCCGAGCGTGTTAGACGATGACAGCCTCACGAATGTTGTGGAGGATGACCCTGAAGTCTCTATCGATGGCATCTTGATTAACCCCACAGACGATATCACTGAGGACGGTTTTACCAGTTCCCAGCCCGACTCTCTCTCCAGTGATGGGGAAGAACACGAGCTAGAAGATCAGGCTGTTGATGACAATACCAGTGTTGAAACACTTATTGACATAGACCCTGCCATTCAGTTTAATTGGTTTGTCAGTGTGGGCTATTCTGGAGTTGGGCTGTTTAGAGACATGTACGTTTGAAAGAAAAAAATTAATCCGTGCCATGTCTGATGATACATAATAAGCTACGCTGCCCGCAAACTTCGTGCTGCTGGCACAACTGTATACTACTTCTGCACGCTCTCTGATGCCAAGAAGCATTTCTGGGAGGTGTTCGATGCATGGTGCAGTGAGAAAGCTATATAGTATAGAATCTCTATCATTTGGACATATTAAAATGTTGCAGGATGTGCTCAATGGGTCTTGGATACTCTTTACCACGGTCACTGCAGGACCAACGTCCCGTAAACTTTTGCGCTCGAGTTGGGGGAGCTCAGTGAGTCTTATATTACCAACGACAGAGACTCATCCAGCTTTTGTGTGCGAGTCGGATGTGCTCAATGAATCTTGTATGACCCATGACAAACTCATCCGGTAAGCTCGGCGGGTGAGTCAGACATGCTCGACGAGCCTTACATCAATTCTACGTGTGTAATTAGCATGTACAAATCTGTCCCGAAGTGTGGCTACCTTTCGAAAAGGCGAACAGATTGGAAATGCCGAGTTATCCTTAAGCTTCAATATTAGCCCCACTCAAGAAGTGGCCAACACTCCAGCCTCCGTGACCACTGACCAACTCCAACGCAGTATTTTGAAGCTAAGCCCATACAAGGCCCCAGGACCCGATGGGATCAGTTTATATGATGTGCTGACTTATTCCGTCCATATCTTCTCTATCTATTCAGGGCTGTATTCACACTTAAGACCTATAACAACTCCTGGCGCGACTTCACGACTGTCCCAGGCGATATGCGAGGGCGGGTAAGGCCAGCTAAAGGCGATAGGGTATTGGGGGTGTGTACATGATGTTCATTCTGGCTCGTCGTCTTCTACGGGTGGGGTGACGTCTCCAAAAATTTGTTCCAATCTGTGCGTGCTCACTATGAAGTGGAGTAAGGATTTGATACATTTTCGGCTGTTCGGGAGGTCCTTGGTACGACTATCTTGGGGACCTAGTTCGTTCTGAAGTGCGGGGCATTGTCTGGCGTACGCTGAGCATGCAATAAGGAGGTGAGCGCTCTCTTTGCCCTGATGGCATTGTTGGCAGGTAGGACTGGGGACTTTCGTGATACGGTGAAGGTGCTTGTCCAGAGGCACATGTCCCGTACGGAGTTGGAGGAGTGACGACGTGAGAGATTTTCTATCAGGTCGGAGAAATGCTTCGATAGGGCTGACGTGTCGATATCATGAAGGCGTTTGTATCTCGGTGAGTCCTTCATCACTTTGCCACTTCGCGTTTGATCTTTTGGTTGAACTGCTGCTTCAAGTCTGATTTGTTGACCTGGAAGGCGACTAGGGTGTTGTTTCTGGTGGTCAAAAATTTCGGAGTACGTTGGGTGCACTGCTGTTTCCTCCCGCAGCTAATTTCGCTTGCTCATCAGCCTCTTCATTGCCTGGTATTCCTTGCTGACCCAGTTTCCAGTGTACTGTCAGCTTGCACTCATCATGCGCGGGTAGCAGGTCGTCGTTGAATTTGTAGTGTCCGGGCTTGGAGACTAAGGCTTTAGTTGCCGCGATAGCTGCCTGGTTGTCAACCCAAAGGGCCATGGTTCCTTGCCCTCCTTCTTCTCTCAACAACTCGGTTGTTGGAAATCAACCCGCCAGCATGATAGTACATCATAGTATCTTTTTCATTCAACTCAGACGCTCGCTCAACGCCAGCGGACTTACCATATTAGGTAGTTCTATGTACGCCACACTCATTACTAGGGGTCGGCGTTGCCAACGTGGACCTTGCTCAGTCATTGACTGTTATTTATTTATTGTTGCAGCGACTGAATTCGCATTCTGTTTTCAACCTTCATGTCATCAAGCAATATTTCGCAGCTGCAGGGCCACACATCTGAGCCGCAGGGAAATACCACCAGGAAATCAGTTGTTTTTTGTCTCCTAACCATCATCTCGTTTGATGCGCATGCTTATCATGCTCAAAAACTTCACGAGCCCAATGATTAGCTTCTCATGGTGTGCTAGATTCTACTGCTTCGCAGCATACCAACAACGTGTTCGAGGTCCCCTAATCAAGCGGGCCAATCTCCTCTCATAGGCATCTTGGCTGGCCGTGTTTCTCCCTTCCGACTTAAATGTGGAGCGGCTGGTAATCATATTAAAAAAGAGACCAGTCCTCTTGCCAAAGCTAAATACCAGTTTCACCTTACACGTCCTGCTGACCACGAACTCGGTATGGACTTTGACGCGTGAACATCCATTTAGGATGCTCTTCACAATGCATACCCTGTGGTTTACTCTGCTCAAGCACGGGCGCGCACCCACCTCGTGGACCAAGATTGATATTCAAGCACTCGAATTTGTTCGACTCTCGATGCGAAATGAATTTGTCCACTTCCGTCTTTGTGACTCTGACTGGAAAACCGACCAACTTGCAATCCGACATTACCCGCAGTGGACACATAGGCCGAGAGAACCGGGGAATGCCATTCAAAGTACCATCAAACAGGAGAATGTTCGTGAGATGTCACTTGCAGCAACCACGAATTCAAAGCGCCCACAATCCCTTACCATTTCACCATCTACACGACGCCCGAAGAAGAAAAAAGATGACCATGTTGAGACTGCGACTGGATCTACAGCTCTCGTACTAAATTCCCTTGCAAACCAGGCTAGTATGAAATCAAGGCATGTTCTGCGACATGAAGTTGATATGTTCGACACCTCCAACGAAGCTTCCGATGCTCTCCCCAACATTGCAAACAGAGTGGTAAAGGTGACGTTCAAGTTAGCTCTCTTTCATTATCTGACCTACACTAATAAATTGTACCCACTACTGGCAGATTGTCAATCCATTAACGGGGTTGTTTAAACCAAAGGAAGGCGCTTGCAATCTCCCCCCTACACTACCTGCCAGCACTAGCAGCATGAGCACATCCTCGTCAACAGCCGAACTCGTTGCGCATATGGCAAGTGCTACCGTTAATGATGCTATCAACGACGTGACCACTATCCCTCCAACTTCCGAGGGGAATCAGACTTTCATCCAGCTTCTTTCAAACGCCATCATATCAGCCAAAGATGCGTCTGCACATGCAAGTGCCTTGCCTCCTACCACTGTCAACTCATCCAGCGCAGTAACAATCCTTGATGTGGACACCACGACGGCACCTAATAAGACCGTGCCAAAGAAAAAGGACCCCAATGCAACAAAGGAGGTACATGGTAGAGCAACTGCAAAGTAGGTGTCCAAGTCTCCCATTCACCGTGAACTCTATGCTGATTCTGATCATTTTAAAACAGGAGTCTATGCGCTATTGATTGGGTTGCCTCCAACCCAGGCAGCACAAATGCCGCATTTGAGAATTATTGGCGAAGGCTCGACAAGGACGAGAAAAAGAAATATCAAGATAGGCTTGCGCTCGTGCGAACAGTGAGCATGCCGTGCATGGTCAACATTTCACATTACTAACTAGTCTACAGGCAAGAGCTTGCGCTGTCGCGTCGCCTAGTATCACTGGCAGCGAGGTAGGAGGGGCAGCGGACTCGATGGTATCGGCGCCACGCTAGATTGTGCCCAGGCTGTTCTCTTCCGCATAGCTATCGTCGTTACCGCTATTATCATCATTGTCGCATCACTGTCATTGTATCGTTATGGTTTTGCTTCTCGCTTCTGAATTGCTGTTGTTCCCGCGTCACTGTCATGTCTGCATATCGTTGTCCCTGCTTGTGTAATACAAGCACGCCTTACATTTTGTTACATCCACGTCTAAACAGAACTATCCACGTCGCCCTATTTGAGGTAAAATCATACAGGGATATCCACAAAATGGTTCAAATATCCACGCTCAGCCAGGTTTCCTAAGCGGGCTGGATCAGCCTGGCTGAGGCTGTCGTGGGTTTTGACTGGGCATAAACAAGGACACCCCATTTGTGCCAAAAGGGCGCAAGAGGTAAATCCAATCCCAGCAGCGACCCCTCCCAGGCATTACAGCCCAAGAATACTCTGCCTGTAACTGTAAGGACAGAGGGAGTGCCGCCCCACCTAGCGCGGCTGTTGAATAAACAAGATGCACCGAAAGGCGCGCGCTAGGCAGTTGGGATGAATGGAACAAAGAGTAAAGAGCAAGAGTCAATCGAAGAAAATCAACAGTGACCAAACAACCAAATACAAGTACCAACAAACGACTATTCTCCTTTGTGCAGGGCAGGACCTTTGTATTACCGTGTGTTAGTGATGAAGATGAGAGAATGAATATAGGTGGAATCACCAAGATATCTAATATTGACGGGGAGGTGAGTGGACAAGGTAGTGATACCACAAGAGGATGAGTAGATAAAGTAGTGATACAATGAGAGCTTTGTAAAAAGAATCAAACCAGATTTCATCAAGTATTGACTCGGTTTGTGTGTGGGAAGGTCTGGCTTTGCCAGACCAGCGCAAGAGGGCGGGGGTCTGGACCGAGCGCGTGATCCGGAAGATTCTGAAGAAGTTCGGGGAGTTTTTCTTTCCTTTTTGGACTGCATCATTCCGTCGAGCTTTGTCTTTTTTTAGAATCTGTAGCTGCAAGGAACTCTGAAGAATCGAGAGTCTCGAACTAGGAACGAGAGCGGGACTAAGTAGGGTAATAGTCAGGAAAATGTTGGTAGAGGTGTGAATACCAGAGCTCACCTCAGTCTTGGATCAAAAGACTGAGGGAGAATGTTTGACAGGGAGAGAGGTATTAACACCCTGATTGAGGCGGATAGCCAAAGGTGAATGTGTATTAGGACTGTAACAAGGAGTGATTGGGTATGTAAAAGAAAGGGATGAATGTGTACCAGGGTGAGGTTGATAGTCATATCTTGATAGGCTCTGAACATCTACCTTTGCTGGCACAGGGTAGCCATTGCTCCAGCGGTCAAACCGTGACTGGTGAGCAATCAGCCTATATGCCTGATGATGAAATCTCTGAATGATAGGAGCCAATCCCTCGATGCATTCCTGATTTGTCTTTCTGGCTGTTGCTCTCTAGTGCATCCCTCACAGAGAACAGCCGCACTGGAAGCGAACAGCATCCATAGAGGTTGCAACGGTCACGTCCATAAGTTGGCGAAATTGATGTAAGATGGTTCAATATGGAACTCGGTGAAAAAAATATGTAGAGGATGTCGCACAGTAAAGTCACCCAGTGACCCTTGCTTCACATCGTAGTGCCTGGCGAGGCCCAGCGGAAGATCTGCAAGGGAGTGAGGGTATCCCAGTCAAACTGAGAATTGTGCTGTTCACAAGGCATGGCCACAGCTGCCAAGCAGACCTTAAGAGTAATCTAAAGCTCCCTGCCTCTTACAAGGTGGGTTCTGTTTGACAAGTAGGCAGCGCAAAGCACCGTTGCTATCCTCTCCGCCAGACCATGCGGCCTGGACGCCTCTCCAGTACATGGGATAGACTTACCCTACCCTGCGTACTATTTCCAGAATACACCAGAGTACTATCCCCATTACAGGCGGATATCTGCTAGGCGGCATTTGATATAAAACATGGGTGAGAAAAGAATGGCTGAAATGAAATTGAACCAAGCCAAACATTACAAAATAACGGCAGCAAGCTTGTTCTACAAGCGTTGTGTACATCAAGTCATTTACACACCCTTTGGGCAAGGCATGGAATGCATGTGGATCACTAGCTACATCAGCGGTATACTAGTATTACAACAAAATTTTCGAGAGCGGCGAGCTGTAGTTGTTGGATATTGAAGCCACAGGCTGCAACTCAACTCTCACTAACAGTATATAGTATCCCGATTACTCCCGAAACGCTCACTTAATGCTTGGACGCTCCTCATCATTTTCCCTCAGTCTTCTATTTGACACTGAGGGTATGTCCATTCATTCATAGTTGTCTCACTCATGCTGACTTAGTATTGTATACCAATCATACCTGTATTGAGGTCAGGAATTTCGTCAGGAGTGTACTTTGAACGGTGTGTCTTTGTCTCCGATAATGGGGGCATTCTAGCAAGAGGTGGTGGACTGACTCTTCTACATTTGGACAGTGGGGGCAGTACGGGTCTTCGGCTTTACCTCTGGACTTTCTGAGTCTGTGCAGACTCTAGGTATGCGTCTGGGTACCTCTAGGCAAGCTCCGCAAATTAGACGCCGCTTGAACCGCGTCTGAGTTGCTGAATACCCACCCCACCCGCCTGTCGTTACATCCAGATTCCATTCCTCTTCAACAGTCCTCATTTGCCTTCCCGCACATATCTTCTCATATATTACCTTGTTCACATCGTCCTCCTTCCCCCTCTTTCTACCTGCCTGTGTCCTCCCGATAATACATCATCCTGCTCCCCCTAACTCTACCCCATCTTCTCATGTTGACGTCGTGTTTCTTGTACAGCTTTTCCTCCGCCTGTCTCCCACTGGCTTCGTCACCGATTGCGCCAGTTGTGGCGGTGCAGTCTCCCTGTCAATCTGTCTGACTGATAGCAATGGAGATGGCAGCAAAAAATGGCAAGGGTATGCGCTGCCTGTCGTCGCTGCATGTTGAATCAAATCGTCAGCATCCATCATGCACATTTTACCGCTGGTATCCACAGCCATTCGCCTTCCCATACATCGTGTCATTAATTCCTATGTCCACAGCGTCACGAAGACCCCCAGCTCTCAACAGATCGTCTCCTCTAGCAGTACTACCCTCGCCATGCCGTCGCCCTCCTTGACGCAGCCTTCGAGCACGCAACAATGCAAGGGCGTTATCTGTGCTCATTCTGCTCTTGTCTGCGCGCCTTGCAAAGCAGACATGGCCCGTGCTTACAACCTTTTGCACCATACATTTCACTTTACTTCTTACTAGCCACCATTGTAGTTACCTTTGGCAACATATATGATGTTGATGAATATCTTGACATTGCAGTTAAGAACATTGGCTGGTACAACGGAGAAAGTGGTGAGATCTACAGATGGCATGGTAGCAAACTGAGCCTGTTGCTACATGGCAGCGAAGAGGGACGTGATGGCCATGTTGAGACGTATGTTTTCTCCACCTGTCTCTACGTTGTAGTGGTTATCGCATGTGCAATTATTACCTCCAGCTGCCTTTTCTAGGTCCTGGATGTCTGATACATCAGTAAGAAGGTCGATAAATGCTATGGGAAAATTTTATCACTAGCCCAAGGTCAACGTCAGAGGAAGCTGTTTTCCAAACGTCCAGCCTCTCTCTTAGCCTCTATTGCTTTGACACGGTTGAGGAACAAGTCCAGGGCATCCTTTGAGACAACTTCGTTATGCCCGGGAGGAATTGCACGAAGGCCATTGATGAACTGTTTGATGCCTTTCTCATGCTCTTTCGACAAGTAGCCCGTGAGTTTCTTTTCAAATATTTCCGAGGTGATGGTTTTCTGAACATATGCAAGCATCCATTCATAGATGGGTAGCAATTGGTGAGATATTGTGGACTGTTTCTCGGATGTGGTGGGCTGCGACGGTGGAGGAGAGTTGGAATTTACAGAGGCCCCTGCGCGATCAACATGTTCAAGGCCAACTTGAGCCCGAGTTTGGCGGTCTACCTGACCCATTTCCGTATCCTCCATGGATTGAGCTGAGACACAAGCTTCACCATTAGCATCGTTTGACTGGCAATGCGACATAGCGGGTGCAGAAAATGAAACCGACACTCACAATGGTGCGACCAATTCCTTGCATCCTTCAACACCTCCTGTACAGACTTCTCTTCCTCCAAAATTGTCTTCACGACCCTCTTCCATACAGGCTCATATTCTTTTGGGCTCATTCTCAACAAGGATTCCCACAGGATCTGGTCTTCAGGATTCCAAACTCTGTTCTCGGAGCCCCGGCGCATGAATCCCTGGAAGATCAACTGAGCTTCCAAGTTATCAAAGGGGTTGCCTTCGTCTAGGATAGAAGGCCGTTGAACCTGAGGTGTAGCATGAAAAGGAAGAGGTCAATACCCTTTTTTTCCCAAGGCTTGCAGGCATCATCATCCAGATCCCATTTCTGCCTCAGGTGATCCACGAATTCCCTCCAGGTCATCTCTCCTAGCCAGAGTCCACCCACAATCTCCTGGATATCATCACGGTCATTGCCATCGCCATTAGCGACAATGATGTTGGCGATGCTCTTAACGTCATCCTCAAACTCTTTGACATTTGTATAGCTCGGTTCTTTCCTGAGGACAAAATTGAAGAAGGCGATTGGGGTGCCCGCAAAATCGTGGCCTGCATCATGTAGCGTTATCAGTAAGTAACTTAGAAGAGACGATGCGGAATGAACTCATCAACCTTGGCTGTACCACTCCCATTGCGCTTCACTCCAGAACAAAGGACGAGGATTGTGTCCCTCGTGCCAACGGCCTGGCAGGTCTCCATCTTTCAAATGCCGAGTCTCGTGAAACGCGCCTGGCTTCTTCAACTCGTTCAGGGCTTGTGGCTTGATGACGCGCTCAAAGGTTTCACGAATTTCCTCAACACGTCCATTGATCCACGTGGCAGGGTCCGGCGGTGGGGACAATGAATCCTTCCCTTGGTCATTAATATTCCATCCTTTTTCTAGCTGCATGTTAGGCGGTGGGTGAGCACGCACAGATGCAACAAGCTTACCGAAGAACACCTTGTTTGCAGCTGTGACTGGATCCGCTACCAGGAATTCGCGTCCTTCAACGAAAGCCTCGTCGTAATCCTTGTTCAACCAATCACGACACATGCGAATTTTCCATTCGTCCAGAAGCGGGACGCTCTCTTTTCCAGGCTCTGTGAGATAATCCAACTTCAGCAACTGCTCCACCACCAAACGCCTGGTGAGCATGTGCTGGACAAGCATTGCCCCCGTGTTCTGTCGGCAAGTCACAACCATGTCGACCTTCTTTCCTTTCAACTTCTTCATACCCTCTTCCAGCCAAAGCTCCCAGAGGTTGGAGCATAGTACGATGTTGTAGGAAAGCTCCAGCCATACATCCCTGTACCTCAGGGGCAGGGGTACAAATCCTCGCTTCCGCCCACCCTCAAACACTGGCACCCGGCACATTTTGTATGACTCTGTAGTCTCAACCTCGTTCTCTTGCGGTTCCCCGTATGTGATCCGGGTATCGTCGTTCTTTAGCCAGTCGTCCATGACAACCTCGGCGTGAACGAGTGGGATTGCAAATGAAGTAATGGGCTGGCGGAGTGGCACGGTTGTCGAGTTGCGCCTTGTGGCATTCATGGCTGGTAAGCTAATTGTGACCTTTCCTGTGCGTTTGCCTTTGGATTTAGGCCTACTGACTCGACCCACACTGCGCGCTTTGAGTGTGGTGCGTACCATTACAAGATGAGTGCAAAACCTTAATCGTGCATCGACCTCAACATAGGGTATTTGATATCAAGGCCGGCCCTCGACAAATTAACGTAAGCACAATTTAATTTCCTTTCCGGGCTCAGTCATCTTGCTTTCAAGGTCATATGCCACCGGCCAAATATACACAAACGTCATTAAACAACAATCACCTTGCTTGCGATGTCATATGGCATGCGACGAAATCCGACGGACTATATGGCAATAATTACCTTGCGGAGCAAGGTTGCATGATGTTGTTGGGATAATCTGTCAGTCACCTGACATCAACATCGCTGTGCAATCACGCGTTCCATTACCAATAAAGTACAAAATAAAGAGTGAATAATGATACAAATACAATGCTCAAGAACAGGTTAACGCCCTATGGAATACCACCGGCAATAGTGATACAAATGTCACCAACAAGAACACGTCCGCGTCAACACTGATACAAATACAAAAAAGTCAATCGACATGACCTAACCTGTTGGCCCTTGGAACTAGTTGCCTCCGACGCAGTCTCAGGCTTCTTGTGAGGCGGTTGTTGATCATTGGCTTCGCTGTCGATAAGATGTAGTTCGCCAGAGACTGAGTAAAAGCTGCTGCAAGTTGCCAGTGTTGTTACTAACCCGTTAAATCAGTTATAACTTAACCCGGTTATAACCGGTTAAGAGGTCAGTTAAATGGATCTGTGATTTTGGGAGGGTTAGTAGGGTTAATGTACTAGGAGTTAATTGGGTTAATTGGGGGTCACCAAACTTTTAATCGTTATCATCAATCTCTCCGATTCTCTCTGTGCCAGCGTCCTGGGACTGTATTACCTCTCCAAGCCGCTCCGATGGGTAGGGAGAAGTCCTGGCTGTGGGATCATTTTCATCAGGGGACTGCGAAGGTTGACAAAGTGTACTGGCAAGCACGCTGTAAATATTGTGTCAATGTGAAGGCTAAAGATCTCGCAAATGCTGATCAACAGGCTGTTGCACACGGAATACTGCAGGCTGTCAGAACTTTCACAATTTTGACGCAGGAAGGTGAGTTTTTGTCAATTGATGCCATGTAACATAAATGATTAATGTATACCGTATAACGGACTCAAACAGCATGCAATAATGTCCCTTATATTGCCGGAAAGGTCGAAATCATGGCAAAAGGAATACATATCGGGGTTAGGACAAGTAGTTGAGGTTGAGGATGACATCTCAGGCATTTCGGATTCGGAATCCGCGACATGTTCAACTGGTCTGTTGAGGTTGGATGGGACGAGTTTTGGTTCCAGGGTGTGAAAAACATGGAGAGTGAGGCTTTATTCTACGAGCTAATGTCACGCCTGCCCGAGGATGAAAAAAGTACTAGTAGGAATGTCCCAGGGGAGTCATCAGGTATGGGAAATAGTCCATCGAGTTCAATCGTTATTGACGACTCAGAGTAGCTAGCACTTTGAAGTAATTAACTGTTTTTAACCCCATTAACCCCAGTTATTTCGCGGTCAATTCAAATCAAGACGCACCAGTTATAACCTATTCAGTTATAACCCGGGTTAATAACAACACTGGCTGCAACGGTCAAAATAATGGATGGATTGAGAGCACCAATGTAGCATCAAAGAAAAAGTGTACACATGTGCAAATAGCCTCAATGCCGAAAATGGAATCGGAGCAAGGTCATCAGTTCGCACAGCGAACCCCTAGTAAACAATAATAAATATCAATAAATCATCAGTCTCCCTGTTGACAGTTGTTGAACACCATCATCGTCATCACCCATCCTGTCGTCGATATTATGAAGCCAGGAGATATCAAACACGATTCTTGTGTCTGCGTATACCCAGCTCATGGCAAAGTGCAGCTGTGGAGGTATGGTGGATCTTTGGTGACGGTTCGACTTGCTGCCATGCCGCATACATTTTTCATAGCCCGCCGTATTTATCATCCTGTCGCAGGTGGTACGGGTCACCCGCGGGTGAGTAGACATATTTTGCGATACTGGTATGTACATGTGCTGAGGAGCGAAAACACTATGTACGAAGCTTAGTCCGAGTCAATAACAATATCGTTGCTCTTTCCCTTTCCTGAGGCCTTGCCTTTGCCCTTTACCATCTTCGTTCGCATGATTGATGTGACAGCACCGAGATCGTTCATGAGAGGTGTGTTGTACCATGATCCCACAGCCATCTGAGCTTTGAAGGTTTGCGAACTAACACCATGCTGGAGGTGGTTGACCTGAAGACTGCCACCTGAAAAAGCCCGGTCAGTGTCAACTGAGGAAGCTAATTGGCCTCCGTCAGATTTCATCAATCAACAAGCGAGGAAAATACCTGGAGCAGACAAAAAATCAAGTGCCATTTGTGCGAGTCGTGGACGAGTGACACGAGCATTCTCCCAGTAGCGAAGAAGACCCCCTGCAGCCAGAATCTTGGCTCTCGAAATACATGGGGTGTTGAGGTATGCATCCATTGAGTCAGGATGGACGGAAGTGACATCCTCATCTTCGTTGTCACTATAGATAGCCCATTTACTAGATGAACGCTTGAGCTGCGAGAAAATTGTTGTTAGTAGGACTCACACCAAGAAAATATAGCGCTTACTGGAACATGAGGTGTCGTGGTTGAAGGAAGTGATGAAGGAAGTGTTGCGTAAGACTCATCCCAGCGTTGCTGAACAAACCGCTTGGCTTCCATGCGGTCGCTCTCGCGCCAGTCCAGGTTTTTTTTGAACCATTTGAGCCTTTTTTCTGGGCACATTACTATATCATAATATTATAGGTGAGGACAGAATGGTGTGACGGAGACGGAGACTCACTAATTGCAATGCGACACACTTCATTGTCATCAGTGAGTGCATAGTACTTGCCTACAACTTGCAGAGCTGCTTGTGCGGCAATCCGAATTACGGGGTGCTCGTCTTTTGCATTGTAGATCTGATCGAGAGCGTGCTCGAGATGTTCGAGCATGGGGATGACTTCGTAAATCAATGGCACGTTAGCCTTTGAGAATATGTTTGTGAGCTCATTGAAAATCTTGAAAAAGGTCAGTAAGCGCTGCCATTAACAAACCAATATGAAACATACCTCAAGGACGGGCACCAAGTGCTCGGCTAGCTTCCATTGTGCAGGTGTAAGGGCACAGTCTCGTAAATTGTTCTGTGTCATGAAATAACTGGACCTTCTCCTTGAAATGGAGATGTGTGCGGAGACACGCAAAATCAGAGTTCCAGTGGGTAGGAACACGTCGATCGAGGCGCCGTTTTTGACTGTCTTCACCACGTTTGTATATAACAGTCTTCTCAAACTCCTCCTGCAAAGTTGTGCTATCATGCACTTTACCGGCTAGACTAGCCACCTAGAATAACATAAATACTTCAATGATAAAATAAAAACTCGTTGGATCACCTTGGGAAACAACCCGAGAGCCTTGAGTTCCTGAGAACTCGACATTATGATGTTCACCTTCCTGGCTGTTTCGATAGCTTGATCATGAACCGATTTTACAACTTCACGGTCATGAGCTTCCTTCGCTTCATCAACCTCGTGGGAGTTGCCAGATGAGCTAGCATCTTCTTCAGTGCTTACGTTGAGGCCAGTCGTTTCCTCGTCCAGGAGTTCCTGCTCTAAGCGAGTGAGTACCTTGTTCTCGTCAGCGAGGCTGGGGAGGTCACATCGTCTGCCTGAACATCAGACTCACTCTGTCCTTAGCTTGCATGCATTCTTCTGGCCTCCAGCTTCAACAACGTTTCATTTTGTGGTGGTAATCCTAACAGTTTTGGTTAGCCCGTCGAGAATCTAGGTTGGCACGTACCCATCTCGGTGATATGCCTTATGTTTCTGACACGATCTGCACAAGGCATGAAGGTGAATTCTATTCCATGGACAGACTATCACATAAAAAGGAGGTTTCGGCGCAATGACTGGGCCTAGTTAAGACGGAGCTCTGAGGATCTATACACTGCCAAAATGTTGTCACTAGGTTTCGAACCAGCTGCAAGAGAAACAGATTTTGTGTCTGTTGTGGTAACCACTTGGTTAAGATCAGTTAAGATGAGCCTGTGAGGAATCCATCCATGAGTGAATGTCAAAGTGTGTTCCAATAGAAAAAACCTTGTTGTCGGCAGGTTTCTGGCTTGCGCAAATCTGACACAAACATATTTCAATTATGTTGTAGTAAACGTAGTAACCACTTTGGCCAGGCGAAGTGGAAATGAACCTCCGAGGAAATGTCCATCGCTGAATCTTCAAGGCGTGTTCTGAGAGAGAAAAACCTCGTCGGCAGGCTTTGAACCTCCAGCGGTAGTGTCAGTCCCAGAGACAGATTTCGATTTCATTGCAGTAACCACTTGGGCCAGGGCGAGGTTGAGATGAGCCTCTGAGGAACTGTTCACCAGTGAATCTTCAAGGCGTGTTCGGATGGGAAAAAAACTCATTGGCAAGTGTTGAGCCTGCACTGGTACAGTCCAAGAGACAGATTTTGATTATGTTGCAGTAACCAACGTTCAATGTTCAACCCCAGCGAGAACCGGCCCTCACCATATCGAGAGTAGTCCCAGCAGCGACCCCTCTCAGGAATTACACATGAGAACTTCAGCCCCATACAGGGCAGAGGGTGGGCTGCCGCATATCTCCAGCATACGCAAGAGGCAATGACTGTAAGGGAACTTGAAAGAGAGGTGTTGATGGCATGAAAACGGAGTTTAGACTTCAAGAAAACAGTAGTAAACATTGTGGAATCCTTTAGGTCTCCATGAAAAACTCCCGAGTTTTGAACCCTAGGGTTTTTGACACGTTTTTGACATGTTATTAGCTGGTCAAAAACTCGGGGTGGAAATTGGGGTATGAATAAATCAAATATATCAGCATTCGATACCAAGAACATAGTCCAGCTAGTAAGTAAGATATGACCGACAGACCGTCAAGTTGAAAATATAGTAAAGCATCTCATACCACTCATACTATCATAACTGCAACCTTGACAAACTTCTTCAACGAGGTCGGAAGGACCAGCCCACACCATGCTCAATTGAATTTCAAGAGCATGGGCCAGGTCTTGTTGCTGTCCTCAGTGTCCTTACAGCTGCCCTCGATGAGTTTCTCGATTCTGTGCTGCTTCAAAAAATGGGTTGATGATCTATGGTGGATCACAGTACTATATCAACAGTCAAGTTTCGTGACCTGAATAGTACTCTTTTTGATGTTGAGCTTGATGGCAACCCTCATAAAAGGAAATACAACAATTTGCAAGCAGAGGCTACTAACTCGCAGGACTTTAATTAGAACTCGGAGGATGGCTGGTTGGAAGATATTGTGGTAACGAGGATGTTCACCTTGATGTTCCTCGATTGGACTTGCTATGAGAGGAGCTAGTGGAAGAAGGCGCCTCAACAACAGGATATACTACAGATCCATTGCCTTCACGAGGGCCTGTACAGCGGGCCTTTGCATTATGATAGCGAAAAAATGTCAAAATGACCAGAAAAAAACACATTTTGGGGCATGTCAAAAGCCCCTTGAGGGTGGGGGTGAGTTAAAATTTCCATGGGTAGTTTTTCACAGAGCCCCAGAATCCCATGCAGTTGTGAAATGAGTGAAAGGTACTGCATGCAACAGGTGGCTTGTATTCAAAGCTATATGAGCGAGCCAAAGAGATATTATAGTGAGACAAGGCCGGCGGGATAAACAAGACTATATGTACCTCAGCATTAGGAATAAAGAGCTCAGGTATGATGTCGGACATCTCAGCTCCAACAAGAAAGAAGCCAGGATTTTCAGACTCGAGTACCAATTGACACTCTTGTATTTGTGTTTGGGTAATCTTGCTAAAGACCGAGATGAAATTTGTTCTCTTAGCTCTCTTCGGTCTCATCTGCTTGCATCAGGAAAAAGTCGGGCTGCAGGGTAGATCTACATAGACTATGTTGCTCGTGTTGTTGGGTAGCTACCCCCCCCACTCTCAGACACCTGGTAGCATAGTGTTGTCACAATATAGCGTGAGATAGTGCTTAGTTGCGGCTGGGCTGAGTATCTGCATTGCTGAAGTTGCTCGACATAGCACTCTATAGGATCAGCCATGTGTCCGGTTACCGGCAGTACCGAATTATAGTTGACAGTAGTATCTCCGTTAATCACTCAGCGGTTCAAACCATTCGAAAAAATGGGATCCATTGGCAATATGATAATAACTCATACTAATCATCCTCGGTATCACTCATCACACCCCCACGTTAATTGTACTCCTCGATTGCTGCATCGAATGCGCTACGTGCCATGGTGCGACCAATCTCGTGACCAAGGGGGTCTGCCTTTGAATGCGTCCTGATACACCAACCGTCATATGAGATCAAACCAACACAAAAATACACATGAGACATACCGGCCATTGTCATGAAGACGAGATAACAGCTTGGGAAGAAGGACTAAGTACACTATGTTGTGTTGCACTTCATATGGTACAGGTGATGAAGTCCCACTTGCATCTCAGTGTCTTAAAAAGAACTGAGATGCTGGGACACTACTATGGGCGCTTTTAAAGTAAGTACATTGACAGCTAGTATATATGAAAACGAAACAGCAAATATTCTAGGATGCCAGGTGACATTGCTCACCCTTGTCCATTTTAGCTTGTGCTTATACCTCTCACTCATTGTCCATGCCTAAGTCAGAACCGACAGTCTTCCCTCTTGGATTTCAACAAAATGCCCAGTGTAGTGATTGAAAGCCGAGGCTTTGGCCTGGCTTCAGACGGCTTCAGCTTTGAAGAACTGCAGGCCAGGCCAAAGCCGTCAATGGCGGCTTGGCTTTGGCCTGGCTCGGCCTGAGCCGCGGCCCAATACAAGTAAATGAGAACATAATGGGTAGCGACGAGTAGTGGCAAGTAGTGAGAACATGAAGCACGTAGTTGAGCCGTTCGAGCGTCCAGTGTCTCAATGCTCGCATTGAGGTAGGCGTCGAGCTTACCAGCTTAGAATAGTTTGAATACAAACTTGAAGAACAAAATTAGAATTTACAAAATCTGTGCATACCACAAGCGGGTGAGAGTAGAAAGCGAGAGCACAGCATGGCTCGAGCTCGAAGGAGGATCGACACACTCACAGGCTTTCAAAGGATCAGCAAGGCCCGAGTTCGACAGAAGATCAACACACACTTTCTGTCAAGGGATCAACAATTCATTCTGTCAACGAGGCCTGAGCACAGAGGATCAACACACTCACATACTATCAAGGGATCAGCGATGCGTTCGGTCAGTGAGGCTCGAGCTCTACAGAAGATCTACACACTCACTATCTGTCAAGGGATCCGCGACGCGTTCGGTCAGCAAGGCTCGAGCTCCACAGAGATCATACACCAATATGCATGAACACTATGCACTAGTCTAAAGGCATGTCCCTGTCGCAGGCCAACCGCTGGACTGCTTGGTGCAGCACTCGGGCAGCTCGTTTGGAATTCATTGTGCCATCCCCACACAAGCTTTTGTAGAATGCCTCGACTAAACACTGCGCAGTGCTATCATTGACCTTCCATAATGTCCCAACTACAGTCTTAACCCTGGCAAATTGCAGGCCAGCCGCTAGATGTATAACTTCGTTGGGCGTACTAAAGGTACTGACCGTGGTTTCACAGTGCATGAACATTCCTCTCATTTCCGTTTTTGCCTTCCATATATAGACATTCCTCTTCCTTCCCCTAAGCCAAATATAGGCACAGAGGAAGGAAGAGGAATGTGGAATGGAGGAAGGGAGACGAATATCATGTACAAATATAGGCATATAGGACGGAAGGAAGAGGAAGGAAGAGGAATGTGGAATGGAGGAAGGGAGAGGAATATTGATACAGAGGAAGGAAGAGGAATACTAGGCACCACCTTCCCACCACTGTGTCGATATTCCTCTCCCTTCCTCCATTCCACATTCCACATTCCACATTCCACATTCCACTTCCATTCCTCTTCCTTCCTCTTCCTTCCGTCCTATATGCCTATATTTGGCAAGGAACCTAACCGTTTCGGGACACTTACATCACCAGATTCCGTCTTTTCTCATGGGACCTGACTTGGCATTCCTCTCTAACCGAAATCCTGATTCCTCTCCTACCATTTCAGGACATCACTAACCCATTTAAGGAAATTCATTCGAATGAATTCTATGGGACCCAAAGCTGACAACTCATATAGATAGGATGTTCCTAGTGTTTTATGATCACAGAAAGTGATTTGAGATGGTACTGGAGCATTCCCAGCCTGTCTGAAGTGAAATATGTCAGTTTGCCTCATACCCCCCTGCAAAGATCGATTTTTACAGACTTCCCATGACTTGCTGGTGCTCCAAAAGCATTTTTCCTGAGGGTTTTTGAACCCTCTGAACATGATGGTCAAGCCAGATTTGCCAGAAAAAATCATGTTCTTGAGATATGCAAGGTCCCCCTCCCCCTCCTATCTCATATATCTTCATATTATGTGAATACTGATATATCAAAGGATGTTCCTAGTGTTTTATGATCACAGGAATCGATTGGAGATGGTCCCAGATTATTTCTAGCCTGTTTGAATTGAAATATGTCAGTTTGCCTCATACCCCCCACAAAGATCGATTTTTACAGACTTTCCATGACTTGCCAGTGCTCCAAAAGCATTTTTCCTGGGGGTTCTTGATCCATCTGAACATGATGGTCGAGCCAGATTTCCTAGAAAAAATCGCGTTCTTGAGATATACAAGGTCCTCCTCCCCCCTCCTACCTCCTATATTTTGCTGTGCTTGAATTTAACTTAAGACCGATACTGTAAAGGCCTGTCCTAGGGTTTTTTAGGTGTAGGAATCGATTGGTGATGATCCTGGACCACCTGGAGATCAATATTGGTGACATATGGTGGTGGGGCCAAAACGTCAGTATTTTGGCCATATCTCCACAACCCAACCGCCGATTTCTTTAATTGTTGGCTCATATCATTCCTGGAAGTACCCTCCATGATATGTACCAGCCCATGAAAAGAACTTTTTTCACAAGTTTGAAACCTATTTCTGAAATGACCATATAAGTGCATTGTTCCAGTCGCGTTTGCGCGCCATTACGAAAGAGTGGAAGGAACTTCTTGGTGTCAGTAGTAATATCTTGAGTGAGGACCTTTTCAGCGGTGAACGAGTCCCCTGCGATGGATGCAGCAAGGGTGGTCTTGGTGATAGCGAGGAGCTCAGCCGTGGTGATGACAAGTGTCTGCGTGAAAAAAACGTGAATCGCGCCATGCAAGCAAAGAATGAAATCATACCTTTGAAACAGCCTGTCCAACCATTGGAACGCCCTGCTCAAACTTTGAAACACCTTTGCTCAATCATTGAAACGCCCAGCTCTAACATAAGAATACGCTGCCCAACCTTTGAAACACCCTGCTCAGCTTTTAGAACAGCCGGTTCGACCTTGGGAATAGACTGCTCAGCGTTGATGACACGAGCTATGCGGCAGAGGTTGAACTTGGAGAGGACTTGAGGGGCGGCAATGTTGAAGCGATTGAGGTAGTGGAGGGTGCACCGGTGAGTTCGTTGATGGATAAGCCTGTAATGATGACTTTTCTGGAATCTCCCAGCTGCATCTACTGCTGGTGTGAAATGCCCAGGTGACACACCTTGCGAGCATCGAGCTTCAGATCCTCCTTGCCGAGTCACTATATCAAGTCGATCATTTCAACCATCACGTGACCTTCCCACGCCACGCGCACATCGCGTACAATCACTGCGTTTTGTTGGGCCAGAGTCCCCACATGGTGCAATAACTTGACGGTTGCCAATGTATGTGTATATCTGTTTCGGTACTCCTGCCTTGACTGTGTCTATCATACGCAGAGGATTTCTATCTGGCCCCTGTGACCGAGGATGAGGTCAGGTGAGGGATTCTCAGCCCAGGTATACGGGAGGATGATATCCTTTTTGTACAACCACAGTAACAGTATCAGTGCAGATCCCTTCCGTCCAGCTGTACTACCCCTCAGGCGTTAATATATTACGAACTCTTTCATTTGCTAAGTACGATGGATTGAACTTAGGAAATGGCGCTGTAATACCCTGAACCTTTACCGATAACCATCAAGACCAGCGCTGTCCACTAATCTTCGCACATGGCCAAGAACAGGAAGGAGAAGAATCGAAGTACGAAAGGCGATGTGAGTATATGTTACGCTCCAGTACTGACAATAATCCATTAGTACGCGACTTATCATGAAACTGAGGCTTTTGCAAGCGTTCCGAATGTACTGGCGAATGCGGGTCCAAGGGCAATAAGTGCCAAGGTGGAGGGAACGGGAACATCGCAAGAAGGAGGCGTAACGCAAGAAGGCCTCCAGAATGCGTCCGGAGTCCATCATGCAACTGAGCCGAGTGATGGAATCGACAACGACAGCTCACAGGCACCGGTGGTGCCCACCCATATTTATGATTCACAGGTGCACTTGGAAGATGCGGCCAATCCATCCACAGCTGCAATATTTTTTTTTCAATATACTTACTATCTGTTACTCGATGGACTCAAGCAGCGTCAATTGTTTCTCACCAGTCGTCAAAGCAAACACTCGCGAGGTTGACGAGAGCGTTACAGAACCAGAGTCTGACTTACCCGATGTGAAAAAAATCGATATCGTGAGTTGTTTCGATGCTCGTTTGTATTCGTTTGTGGTGCTGAATGACACCTACATATGTTAGACACCGACTATTGTGGTAGATGCGAGTGTAACAGAAGCCGAGACGGACTCCGAGATAGACACATCGCAGGAGGTGCAGACCCCTATAGAATTCACTCGCTACTATCAAGCCCAACTCGCCAACGACGCCCAACTTGGCAAGTAGTACTTATGAATAAATTTGTAGTAGGCTCACGTGACAAGCTGATCCATTTGCGCGCGTCCAAACGCGTTGTCCCTTACTAGAGCACCCACCCATCGGTCATCATGTTCGTTCGCTGCTATTGCAAGACATCCAATCGCAAGGGTGCGCTGATCTCCTACGAGACGACCGGACAAACAAGGCACGGATGCCTATGCCCTTGAGAAAGCTCGAATTGCACAGGAAAGCTCGCGCTGGCTGAAGCAAAGAACACAGCCAGACTCAAGGCAGCTGCAGCCAAGGAAGCAGAGAAGCTCAGGTTGGCGGCTGAAAAGAAAGCACGCGCTGCTCAAAAGGTGTCAATTTTAGCGCTCGGAACTGTTGACATATGGTAACGAACGTATCACAGAAGGTGGTTGGGAAGCGCAAGGCAACATCTCTGACAGTTGAAGACTTACCGGAGGGCGACGTGCACCAACCACCCCCTCCCCCTCCTTGATGACCTGAAATTTTCTCTTCACCCAGATGATCCAGACAACTTCTTGAAGGTGTGCTATGCTCTTCGCATCCTCGTACGACGTGTTATCTGCGACACGGAGATTAACGAAGCCGATAGATTACATCGAGAATACACCGCCGAACTCATCAAGGTGTGTCAGTTATTACTCAACTTGACCTATGTTCTTGTGGGAGCATAGTTATATGGTTCAGCCGCTATAAAACCAAACCATCACTACGCTACTCACATCGCCGATTGTGTTCGAAATTTTTGGCCCATCCACGACTTCTGGACCTTCCTTGTTGAACGACTCAACAAAGTACTGAAGCCATTTAAGACTAACAATCACGCAGACGGCGAACTGGAGACGACATTTCTTTGCGAATTCCAGCGTACATGTCAAACAAGCCGTTTAGTAAGCTTTCGGAGTCATTTTTGTGTTCACCGCGACGTCTCACTGATTACTTAACAAGACCTTCTCTCTACTATCTTATCCTAAAGATTCCCTTCCATGTGAAGCTGCCGAGATCATGCTCAAGGCATCAAGAGAGGAGCGCGGAACTGTAGCTGGACTGGCAGCTTTGTCAGAAGACTTGGACAATGTTCAAACAGATGGTATGCCTTGCTTCTCTATTCTTATATCGAGTCTAATTTCAACTAGCTATGCAAACATTTTCCCGGGTCATGTCTACCGAGACGTATCGCACTCTCGCGCGTACACTTTGCTTTCGCTTCCCATATACTCCAGTTCATTGTCGTGGGGATGAACCATTGGTTCGAAACAGCACGCCTCTCGATCGCGAAGAAACATTTTATGAATATGTTGTTGTCAATGGGAGGCGCTACCATGCTTCAAGAACAGTAGGGTCAAACTCTTCGTCTCTCTTTCACGTCACCATCCCAAGAGCCGTCCCTGTCGCTACTTATGGCGAATTGTCGATCAGGACATTTTGTCTGGTTTGGGCGCATGCGCTGGTTCAAACCCTGGTGTGGCATGCGCAACAAAGTATGGGATTATTTGGAAGTAATTTTTTCATGGGCGACTTCACACTTAATACTAGTATATCCCAGCGCATCAGTGGACATACGCTGATGGGAGCTTGGAGAGTACACCGATCGAGACACCCAACTGTCGGCTCTCATCGACTTGGATTGGATCACTGGCCGACTGGCGATGACAATGGTCACAGTTGGTGATGATAGGACCAAGGTTTGGGCGACTATCATTGTCCCAAACTTATCATGCTCTGCCTCTAGATCTCATCCACAACCGCAATCAACTCAACCTTCTACTCGTCATACCAGCCCTTCTATAGCCATGAGCAGGCTTCGTGCTTATGCGCCCGGCTCATTACTCATCTCTTCGCCTGTCCTGAAAACCCTCCTTCGTCTTCAAACTCCCCCATTTCATTTCGTACGCCCTCCACCGCATTGAGTTGCATTCGTCCGTCACATTTGCCGCTCTCGTCCTTCTTCAGCGCTTGAAGGCGCGCTTTGCCACCGCTCGGGGATCGTCAGGGCATCGCCTATTCGTATCCGCATTCATGCTCGCCTCCAATTGACGATACTTACTCCAACAAGTCATGGAGCATCGTGGTGCAGGGTATGTTCCAACTCCTCCAAGGCTATTTGTAATGCATACTTTTTGCTATTATTTGCAGGATCGCTTGCCTTAAAGGCCGCTGATCAGCATTGTATCAAGACAGGTATCTAAAAAGGTCTTCTTTTCACTACAGGTGCCACTCATCGAGTTCCTGCAGATAGGTACGATCCTCCTCAAGAATGTCATCCGAGTCTTTTAATTGCTCATAAAACCCTTTCAACCACGGTACTCCCTCCAGGACCTTCATATCATGATGCTCTTCTTTCCACTCGTTGCTGACCATGTTCGCGAACGGTGCCGAATTCTTACCCGAAGCTGGCTTGCGGTCACTCAGCTTGTCCGGCGCAACATCCCAAACTTTCTTGTGCATCTTTTCAGGGCGCGTTAGAGCACGCGTGACTGTTTTTCGGCGCTTGGAGGGACGTTCGGTCCTGGATTCAGCAACGTTATCTGCTGCCGCTGACATTTGATCATCTTGAACGGTAGGTGGGTCCACAGCTACGTCCTTCGCAACCTCTGAGCTCGAGTCCTTCATACATTTCAGAGTGAGAAATCGAAGGAACACAACATATTTGGATATGCAACATGTGTGAGTGATAATGTTGGCCTTATAGCTGCAATTGGGAACTTACATCGACACTTCGCCATTGAAATCCAACGACCCTGTTGGCAGTCTTTCCCACTTCCGCCTCCTGTCGGCGCATCTTGGAATCATCTGACAAGTCGGATTCACCACATGAGAGGATATCAGAGGCAAAATCGGTATCGATAATGGCAACGGCTCCGTGATTACCAGTCTCTTCCTCAAATTTGATGGCAGCTTTTTGCCTGGATTTAGTTACCTGAGTCGGGTGAGTCCATGTTATTCAGCATAGTGCAACGCAACACTCACATTTTGACGACGATAGCGATGACGTCCATGATCCTTGCGTTCTTTCCCTTCTCAAGTTTATGTGCGCTACTCCGTTATCGCACTGCTGATGGATATTTCTCCAGTACCCTTTCACGCACTTGGTGATAATGGGCCTGGTAAAACCTTGGTCCGGTATCTCGCCTTGGCCAGATGAATTAGTGCGAATTGTTTGAACGTTAATGGTAAGAATATATGAATATGTGCTCGCATTTGTGATGAACTCACCTGCAAGTCTTCGCGTGTATTCCTCTCAGCTGCCAAGAGTTCTTGAAGGACATGCCATACACGGGAGATTCAGCTGTTAATCGCCCATTACAATCGTATGATAAACCAGTCTCGTGAGAGCAGTAGACGTTTAGATATTCTATGTAGCTATCTATGAGACTCGAAACTACAACTTAGCGTTTTCAACAAGTCCAATAATCTGGTCTTTCAATGCAGCAAGGCGATTGTTCCGCGCAACAGTATCACGACGTGCTTGTTCAATGAACTCTTCGATCTCTTTTTTCTGTCCCGCCGTCTCTTCCTCGAGCCGATCGACGTCGTTGCTCATGACATCGATGACTGCTTGTTGATACCGAACCTCCTCGTCAAGCACATCAATACGATCCTCGTACCGTTCCACGTCTTTCTCGTGCGCCCTAAGTATTTCTTCACGTTCCTCCTGTAGGTATTCAACCTGAGACTCGACGCGACTCAGCATCTCGAGGATCTCGCGCACGTGCCGACCCATGATCGACTGTGGACTGGGGGAGCGTAGCTGGGTGACGTCTTCGTCCAGTTCGTCCTTGAATGTGTCGGATGTCAATATATACGGAGAGCAGGACTTGTACATACATTGTCAACCGTCTGGTCGGTTTGTAGATCGTCATATTTGGAGCGCTTGCGCATTGTCGGCGTGAAATGGTCTCCCGGCGCAGAACGCTTCATTCCGAATATCAAGTCGTGAATAAAGGTGGTGAATACCTCAGAGAGATTGTGAAATGAGACCGCGAACGTGACAGGTAGACGTGGGAGTGATTGGAGTATATTCAAAGTACGTGATTTATATTGGCGCAAGGATATCGATTACGCAAGCAAGCAGTTTGTCTTACTCTACCTTACTGGATCACACTGATATTGAGTTATATCCCCGTGTGCATATCTGATACCGAAAGACACTTGTTCTGGAATTGAGTGACGGGAAGACGCATACCACGGATGGGAGCTTCCTCTTACATCACATGCTGAAGACATCGCCTTTGGACAGGAAGCGACAACACCGCACACCTCCCAGGTAGAACAACACAGGGTACTATGGTGCCATCTGTATTACCAACCATAGGTG